CACGTGCATGCGTTTATTGATATATATATATATATATATATATATAACAAAGTTAATTACATGGCTTCAAGCTTAAACATAGTTTACATCAACAAAAAGAAATTTGTAACTGTCATCACAGAAAGTTACAGTTAATGGTGGTTAAGAGCTTGACAATTGAAATTGAAGGGTGAAGCAATGATGAATTTGAAAGGGATTTGAAAAAAATGGATTAGGAGAATCATTATCCCCTATCATATATAAATTATCAAATCGTTAAATTTTAAATCCAATAAATAATGCACAAAAAATAATAATATACTATATTTAGTAATAGGGTTATGGCACAAGTTAAATAAGTAATTAATGTATTTTTTGTTATTAAATTATATAGAAACAATAAAATTTATTTTTAATTTTAACAACTAATTAATTAAATTAAGATATGTGACACTTATACTCAAATTAATATCAACCATTTTGTTTTTTTTTTTATATATATATATAAATTAATGATTAAAAAGTGTGTCAATTACACCTTTAACCTATGCCTTAAAAAAAATATTAAAAAAAATCCATAATAATATATCTCAAAATTTAAAATTCAATGATAGAAAATTTGTGCAAGATTAACCCATAGGGATGGAAATAGCTAAGCTAATTTAACCGAACAAAATTAGATATAATAAAAATAGAAAATTTTAATTAACCATTAAAACTTTTTTTTTCTTTAAGTTACACAATGAAAAACAACATTTTTTCATCTATTAATTTATTTCATTCACATATTATGTAATTTAAATTCAAGATCTTTTATTCATCTTAAAAAAGAGATTACAACTAACCATGAGATCACTTAGCTTGTTAATAACTATTAAAAAACCTTGAAAACTCAATTTAACCACATAAAAATATTTTAATTAACTATTGGACACAACCCCACCAGTTTATCATGTGAAACAAAATTAGAACCGTTCATCAATTAATGCCGGCGCTAGTCATTATATTTTCAGCAGATAATCTTCATTTCGTTAGCAAAATTAGTCATATCTTTGTTTAAAATATACAAAACAGATCAAATAATTTTGAGGGAAAATAATTAAGGTAGAAGGCAGGTTGTTTAGTTAATTTGTGAGAAAGACAGATGGGATATTTTGAAGAAAAGTTGGTGTAGCAAACGCCCAAGGATTTAGATGCAAATTTATTTGTAATCAACCCTTATAAATCGTGAGAAATTCTTCACACGGTCGAGAATGGACCTATTGCATTCGCTGGCGATTGTCTCCTTCCTTTTGTTCTTTTGCTAAATTTCCTACCTCCTCAGTATCCTTTCTGGATTTTAAATGACCCATTAAAGTATAAGGTTAACCTCTGGCACAAGCCACTTCTTTCTTTAACCCCCTTCCTTTTTTTCAATCCTTAAAGGGTTTTTAAATTAATTAATTTATGGACCTCAAGGCTAATTCTCTTTAAACAATCTTAAAAGCTCACTACTACATTAATGTGAGTTTAAGAAAATCAAATTTTCAAAACTGACTTGAAGAAACCATGGGTCTCAATACCTACTAATCTTTTCATTTTCCCTAGTTTCAAAACAAAAAAAATTACCCAACTTCAATGTGTTGTTTAACCTTAAGACTTCAGTCTCTCTCTAAGGAACGTCTCAACTATGACATAAGTTTAGTTAACCCCAAAGATTGGTTATATTAATACTTCAAATTTTAAGATCAATACCTAATTTTTTTTTTTTAATCTTAATACTTAAACAATTTGTTTTTCTAGAGTGCACCAAGTAAATATATATTAAAAATGTACCCTTAATATTATCTAAAGTTTAATCTCACAGTATTCACAAGCAGTTAATGGAACGCCCTAATTATTTTAAAAGAAAAAACCATTAGATACCACTTTGAAATCAAATGTTTCAACATTAAATCTTGATGATCAGAAAGAATCTCCTATAGATGGTATATAGAGACGTATAAATAAAATAATATCTTCACTTGATCTAGATTGCAAGAGAAATTTAGGGAAAAAATAAAAGGACATAGAATTATCCATCATGATTTATGACACATAATTAACAAAAGTTAAGAGATTGTCACTTTGTCTGTTTATTTTGTTAAAATTATGAATTTTATCTGTAATTTAATTTATCAATTTATAAATTTTTAAATAATTAATTATAATATTTAAAAACATTTGTTTATAACTTAATTTTAATATGTTAAATAACAAATATTAATTATTTTATTAACAATTAAATTAAAACAAAAATTTAACAATTTTAATAACCTTAACAAAACTAATGATAACCATAACCATGTCCTATGAAACATATAAAAGCAGCCAAGAAACTTTTTGTTTCTTATTTTCAAAAAAGAAAAACATGGGGAATTTTTACTTAAAAGAAAAGAAAAAAAAAAAACAAACAAACTCCAGGGGTATCTCTGTGATTGGCACAAACTCCATGGCGATTGTTTCTGCAAGACCGATATTTTCTTATTTCATAAGCTAGCTCTTTCAAACCTAAACTCTAATTTAATTTGTCAACAGAGCTAGTGTCAATGTCAAATGCCACCAGCCACAGCTTTGAGAGAGACCATTTTTTTTTTGTTAATTTTTTTCCACCTTGCTTGCTTCTCAATCATATGCGGGGCAAAAAGTTAAAACCCCACATTTTTCCATCTCCTAACAATCAATAAGTAAACGATTCAGATTTTCAGAGACACACAAGCAGTAAGATATAGAGATTAGTTGCTTCAACCAAGGTTCCTTGTCGGGTGGACCAGGGACTGATTTTAATAAACCGAGCTGTGATGTCAGCTAAAACTGAAAATTTAAGTATAATATATCAAGGTAATATGAATTCAAGTGTCAGCTAAACAAACCTGATTTGCTTGCTTCAATGGGTTTCTAACCAATTCATCTACGAACCTGACCTCGTGGCTATTAGCTCATTGCCCTCCATGCACAAAATGTCTCCTTCCTGCCTGGACGGTAGTAATTGAATTTTCTTACTGTTGAATTCAACTCTAAGATTTTCTATCATTCACCAAGCAACAGATCAGGATGGCTTATGAATTAAGCTTGTTCAAGCAAATCGACAAAAAATATAGGGACAGTTAGAAACTTCTTGCACAAATCTTGTGTTCAAGTCCCCAATGGATAACCTAATCAGGACAACGGAAGATATGAAAAAATGCAAGAAACCTAGTTGGCTTTTAAATTAATCTGTGAAACTAGTCAATTTTTCTAAGGGTACTTTAACATTTAATGAGACTTGGTTCCTAATAAAGGGTCGGACACCCAGAAGGATCTAAGTCTGGCTGTCTGGCAGGTATATGTGTATAAAGTACATGTATAAATGTATAAACAAAAGAAAAAGCACATGTATGAGAGTTTGGATGACTGAAAATGTAATGTTTCATCATTCAAACGATTTCAGAACGCAAATAAAAACAAAGCAGATTTTACCTTTGAATTTACATTTACTTGCAAATAAAGCAAGGACAAATCAATTCCAAATGTCTGGTAAGACCAAATTATAGAAAATCAAAATGATAGTTAAATGGCGCGCACATGAGAGAACTAAAATGATTATTGTTAACAATCAAATTCATGCAAGTGGATGTTAGCAGTTAGTGCACAGCAACCCAAACAGCTCCACCTCCCCTATTCTAGAAAATCCTAATAGAAGAGGTGAAAGCTGGATAAGTATAAAAATTTCAACCTATCCTAGTCTTTGTCCCCTGAAACCTGTTCTGCAGGTTTAAAAAAATGCATAAACGTGGCTGATACCACCACCAGAAAAGGTAGGGGAAGGAAAATATTAATAACATAGAATGAGCCACCATCCTCAAATCACTGTCTTGCTCTCTGGTCCATGAGAGCATATTGAATTTTGGTAATCAGTTTTTCAAGAATTTTCATTATGAAGTATACAAAAGTCTCAATCTCCTTCCATTGCATGCATTTATGAGGAAAGCTGTTAGTGACAATTCTGATCAACCTGGACCAAACACAATAAGATTCTAAATATCTTATGAAAACATCACGAGGATATATATCATGTGAAAAAAATTATGCAATAGCTATCCTCAACTATTAATAAACTAGAATTAGCATCAGAAGCACAGTTTAGGTAGCAGATAGGAGCCAAAAGGATAGTTGATCAACAAATATAATTAATAATCTTCAAAAAAAATAACTAAACGTCAAAAATAATATTACAATTTAACAAGTACAAGTTACATTTCAAAATAAGGCTGTTATACTATCCAAGCATTGCAAACAAGTTCAATAAAACAAGTTAGTGACTCGCTGGGCCAAGAGGCATGTGCCATGGTGGAAGAAATACCTTTACTAGTTTCAGTTTCTTGCCGTTGTGGGAAGAAAGGAAACAACAACATAGAATCAAATAGCTTCCTGCAGTAAGTAACTTTACTATTTGGTTGATAAAAAAAAGAAGTAATTTTATTATTTTCCTACAGGATACCCCATATAGATTAAATGCGAGACTTCTATTTCAAGAGATCAGGTTCAAATCATTGGATGCACTAGGGACTGGGGAGGGTTTCTAAAATAGAGAATGCTATCTCTTATTGTAAAGCCCACATCTTACATATCAAAAAGTAAAAGAAAAAGTGTATATAGGTTAGGTATAAAAAAAATATTGTGTGCATGTTTTTATGCATGTGTGTGTATTTATTTTATACATATATATATATATTATTTATATATTTCTTCTGGACCTATTGCTTAACAATGGGTTTATGGTTAAAAAATAAAAGGAAGAAGTAGACCTGGCCTTTGATGGGGCACTTGCATTATGCAATGCAATTATATATATTTGATATTATAGCACAAAATTGTGGCAGTTCTTTCCAGAATTTCTAACATACTTCAACCGATTTGTATTTATTTACAACTCAGTCTAACCTCAACTGACATTTATATATAAACTCTTCAGAGGCAATCACATGAAGAGGCAGTGTGAGTGACCAGATGTAGCATACCTTCTCCACAGATTTTATAAGTTAAAAATATCCAAATCAATGGATATGCATACATCATTGATAATTATATTGTCGAAAAAAATCCTAGATGATAAATTATTTTAATCAGATTTTTTTGCAATCCATTTAAGAAGAAAATTTACAATACAACATGGTCAACATAAAGTTAAGAAACAAAAGGGAACTCAACTAACTACCTTGATCTCATTACCACCACCAAATAACATATTATGTCAAAAATTTTATTCAAGATTTCTCAAGTTCACAAGCTCAAATGTAGATGGATGCTTAATTTCCTGAATGCTGATAGTTAATTAATTTCCTAAATGTAGATGCGTATGTAGGGTAAAACGAAAAGAAAATAATAATAGCCAACAATGATTGAGTAATTTCCTAGCAACACTATTGGTAAAAGCATGGCTAAATCTCCGGATGTGGAACAACATTTTGATAATTCTAGGAGAAGTTAGAAATATTTATTCCAAGGTAACCAATCTAATTCCAATCTACTAAATAAGGATGTTTCTCTGGTAAATGTCCAAGTCAAGATCTAATCTGAATTCATAGATCATTTCAGAATGAAACCTGAATTTGGGCTGCATGTCAAGAATAAAGGCCTTTCTTTTTTGGAATTGTTTCTATAAAATCCAGCAACCCAGAAAGAATGGAACCTAAGGTGTGACACTTCTCTATACCATGTGATTGTGAATAACCTTAGCAGTGGTTAATCCTCTCTTCCAAAAATGAGGTTTCAACTTCAAACCTGCCTAAAATGCTAACATATAAACTTTAAAAGAGGACTGAGATATTCCTGACTTCAGTGTATATAATGATTGCTAATGACCAAGTGTAGATGATTAGCACCACATCATTCAGACCCCTTACTTTCTAATGAATTAGACTTGAAGTATTTTAAGAAACATTACTCTGTCATTTTTCCTCAATAAGTCACGTGAAAATAATTTTACTTAATCATATCAGTGATAATACTGGTAAGTTTGTAAAATAGATTTCTAATAAAACTGTTCTATAATTTGTGAGGTGTGATTACAATATACGATTCAATCCATTACAATTGCTGTTGCTTACAACATAAAATTCAACATATTGATTTATTTATTCCCGCTATTATTGATTATTAAGGTATACAGAATGTCTGATCAGTGATCACCATATTTCTATTATTTGACAGTTGAGTAGCATTAAACATAAAATAACATCATATTAGCAAGCACAATTACCTATTAACAATAAAACATGTATCAGAATAAGACTAAACATTTCCTTTTCTCTTGGGGTGGTAATGAAACTTGGTATTCAATACAGCAACAACAAATACACTGACTCTTCTCTTCAGAATGGTTGACAATAATTATTTTACAAAAAAATAAACCAGCTATTTTATTATTAAATAAAGTATTATTTTAAGAAAATAATCAGTCACTGTTCAACTTGGTTATTATAAATTCTAAAAAGCTTCCAAATTCAAGCAGCTAGTTTGAAAAGGAGATAGATCTCTTCTTCACAATTGGCCTAGTTTTAAACAGAGGGCTTGGGTCCAATCCAACATCTAATGAATCAATCCAAAACCTTGAGGGTCCAATAAAGCCTAAAAACTAGTTTTATGCATCAATTCCAACTTTGCCCAATTCTAACCTACAATGACCTGAAAAATGCATCCAAAAAACATAAACAGAAGTCGACTAGAACTGCAACTTGACATTCATTGGCAAGTTTAACCTTCTTTACCACGTTCTTTATCAGTTGAACTCCAGCTACACTACCGGAAAAAAGCAACTTAACCAACCACAAGGATTACAACCTCGTTACCAAGATCAGTACTGTGTATAAGAATCAGTGCAGAATGCTCACCCAAAAAAAAAAAAAGAAAAAAAGAAGAAGAAGAAGCAGAGAAACAAGATAGAAGTGCAACGTTGCGATTGCCGTATAGACAAGTAGTTCATATTCATGTTCATAGTTTCCTCAGCTTTCTTCACAAT